TGATTAATATTATTATGATTAAGTCTTTAGATAAGATGCTGTTCATTAGGATTTAACCTATCTAATAATTCATTTACTATTTAATGATAATATCAAATTTAGTTTATTAGATATATGGATTTCTTATATCTCCAATCTTTACAGGTCTTGAGTATTTTTATAATAAAAATTATTAGAGCAATGTAAATAAAAAAAATGAGAAAAAACATAAATAAATGGATCAAATTATTTTTAATAAATATATTTAAATAAAATAATTATTCAATTTACAGAAAGTCTATAAACAAAATAACTTCCATTAGAACTTTCATTTTTCTTAACTTCTTTACAATCCCAAAAAACTAAAAATTATCCATCATTAGTAATCGTACCTGAAACTCTATTCCATTGACAACTAATAGATTTTACTATTTGGAACTAATTGTCCTAGGTCTCTCTAATAATGTATATGAAATTTTTATGCCTAATTATGATTAAATTTTAATTTGGATTATGTAGAATAGGAAATAGGAATGTGTCAAATAGATGATTTTTTTACAATTCTATTGCTTTATCATTTTTTTCTTAAAACACTCCTTTATTAAGTTCAAAAAAATAAACAAAAGATTTAGTTGCAACCCACAAAAATAATTCATCTCTCAAAAATTTAACTCTATATCCATTCTCATAAATAGATTATTTAACAATATGATTAAAAATCCAATCATTCCCTTCTTTTTTCCAAATAATAATTCTTTTGTCGTAACCAAAAGAAACCAAAAATGTTTCAGATTGATTTAAACTTAATGCATCTATTTTTCCTTAATGCTATATTAATTAAGTCTAATATTCCAAATAATTTTTGATTAAATTCAACTTCCAAATGTAAATTATTTTGTCTTCTCCTGCTGAAAATAATAGATTTTCTTTTTAGTTTATAATAGCACATTCTATATATCCAGAATGTTATTTATAAGGTTTTGAAGATTTCCATTAAGTAGGTTCTGTTTATTACCAACATCGAATTGAAGAATCAGCTGAACCGGATATAAAAGAATTAGAAAGCTTACTAAATATTAATACGTAAACATTCATAGAATGCCCATCCAATTAGCATATTTCTTCAATTATACTATTTGAAAATCTGAATACTCTAATTATTGAATTACTTGTGGATATCATAATTTAATTAGAATTATTAAATGAAATAGCTCTACAAGGTTCTGGTTATATTATCTTATTATCAATCAGTTATATATCAAAATTATCATTTTTATTTTTTTCATTCTTTCTGCTTTCTTGTTCAGTATAACATTTCAAATCAGATTTTTCCAATAATTTCAAGGATCTTTTTAATTCTTAGAATTCATCCTATTGTTGTAACGTCATAAGTTAATTTAATAAAATACCATTTTTTATTGACAAGATTAGTTATTAAATTTAATATTGTTCATTAAATTCTCATGTTCTTTAGATATTGATATTTTTTTTTTAATTAGATTTTCTAACTCTTCAAAGAAACTATATGTAAATGTGCTTGGCAAGATTTAATCTAACCAATTTTGCTATTGTTATACAATACCTTATAATTAATCTAGTTAAAAATTGATTTTTGTTTTAAGATTATAGAGCTTTGTTCTAACATCCTCTAGCTTTAATTTTGTTTATATTATTAAGTTTCCATATTTTCGGTTTTTTGTTTTTAATCATTTTCTATAATTGAGAAGATTTTTTGAAACCCAACTATATTGGCATTCCCTTCAAAGTTGTTAATA